GTGCAAGAGTGACCCACCCTGCAGCAGTTTGTGGAGGACTGCTGCCATGGCATGGACTCACACTGGAGAAGTTCATGGGAAACTGTCTCCTGTGGAAGGGACCCCACGCTGGAGAAGGGGAAGGACTCCTCTCCCCGAGCAGTGGGAGAAACACTATGTGATGAACTGACCCTAACCCCCATTCCCTGGCTCCATGCACTGCTGGGGGGAAGGAGGTAGAGCTGGGAAAATAGGGAGGGATGAGAGGAAGGCATTTTTAATATTAATTTTTACTTCTCAATTGATTTTTTAGCTGAGTCTGATTTTTTTACCTGAAGCTGAGTCTGTTTTGCCCATGACAGTGCTTGGTGAGTGATCTCTCTCTGTCCTTATCTCAATCCATGAACCATTCATTATATTTCCTCTCCCCTGTCCAACTGTGGAGGGAAGTGATAGAGAGGCTTTGGTACATGCCTGGCATTCAGCCAGGCTCAATCCACTAAAAGTACATTTACAGATATAAAATGCTATACCTTCCCTTTTTTTGCTGTAAGCATAGTTCCTCGATTGTGAACTTACTCACGGATTGGTGTATTTTCATCTGATAAAACTCTTCTTCAAGATTCATCCTATAAAAAAGGAAATAAAAACATTAGTACAATCACACAGATGCCACTTAAAATAATTTTAAAAATTAAACCAAACCCATACCAATGTATTACTGGAATAAAGTTGTCAACACCCAGGAATTAGTTCTAATTTGACAACACTTACCATTACTTCAGATATAAGGAGGCCTTTGTACCACAGCTTTTTAAAATGTGTAAATCATCTGAATTCCCAAAATTCAGACACGATGCTGATTGTAACATACACTAAGAAGTTTCAGCCCATCTTTTTTAGGCAAGTAAATGTTTGAGATTAAAAGACCAGTAAGAGGTAGAATCCTTTTAAGAGGCAGGTAAATACTCTGTCTCAGGGGAAACTGCCAGCCAAACTTGTGAAGATACATCTTATGATCCAACAACTATTCAAGAAACTTATTAACAGAACCATTCCTCCCATTTCCCAGCCCTGATGGATTACTATACTACTACCATACTTTAGTCTGTAATATAAACCAGCTAAGGTCTGCACAAATTGAATTACTCTTTTTTCAATTTAATAAAACTACATGCAAATAAAGTTGCCAGGATACCAATACTAAAGTTTCAAAGTCAAATTGGGAAATGCTAGAAAGACATTAACTTAAATTGTTATTAAATTGTTTATTTATATTTGTTTTCTGACACGTTCTCAATCTATATAGCTGTACACTATTTCAACAATAAAACCCCGACCTGTTTCGGACAAAGATCATACAGCACACAGAACAAAGTAGCTTTTGCTACTTTGCTACAGAACAAAAGGCAGCTTTTGCTTAAAATATAAATTCATTTCATGCACAAATACACATTATTCTAGCTGTGTTGTGAAACTTTGACTGCTAATGCTCTCACTTATTTCACTTGTACTCTGAACAGCAGCACCTGTTTCACAGGAAATTTATGCTTTACCCTACTTTGCCCTCTGAAATAGGGCTCAAAAAAGATCTGGCCAAAATATTTGCTAACTTAAGGAAAGGACTTAAAAAAAAATAAGTCTTCTGGTATGCACAGTATATTAAAGCACATTGTAAGTCAAATGCACCTCTGACTCAGCTGTAAAACATGAATTACAGAGAAAATTATAAATGGAAAGTTAAAGTAACTTACTTTGCATGACACATAAGAAATCCAGCTAATTTTGGGATCCCTCATCTGCCTTCACAGGTTGATTTTTTTTGCTGTTCTTTCATTCTCCAAAACTCAGTCATTATCAGTTTCTATTACACAGACTACAGCGGCTTTTGTCTCCACATTGTCTTAACTCTTCACAGCATGTTAGCTTTTTGCACTGAATGGCAAAATATTTCCTTGAAAATACATTGTTTATGCAATTAAAGGCTGAAATCAATAAGACATGCTTCCTGCTTGAACCTCTATCTTCTGAACAAGTTACTTTCCAACTTTAAAAACATTATCTGAATAAATACATTTATGAACATAGGTACTGCCTCTGTAGACACTAATCGACAAGCATGCAATAGTGACTGTACAAGATTTTTAAGTGTAAACTTCTGCAGGTATTTTTTTTTTTCTTTCAGCTGATGGAAGATGTGCAGAAGTAAAGTAATTATATTAAATAAATTAAGTGGAAATTTATAGTCAGAATAACTGATATGGCTCCGAATAAATTAATTTATCTATGAAATAATCTCCAACCGAAGTTAGGATATATCTATATCTGAAAAAATTTTAGTCAAGTCCAAACCAAAAATTACAATGCGCAATGCAAGATTCAACCCATCCAAGTCAAGGACTCGTTTCTGTGAATGCTAGAAATGCTTAAATGGGTTAGCCCAGTGCCAAGTCCAACCATCAGTAGTACTATGTCTCCAACAGAGACAAAAGCAAATGCTGCTCAAGAAAGAGTGGAAGCCGAACAGTTTCTGCAGTGTGAGTCCAATTTTTCACCCTGGAAGTAACACACAGGCACTACTGTTTATTTCTTCTACTTTAACTGGTTCGCAGTTGCTAAAAGGACCTTTCCACTAATCCCACAGTAAAAAAACAAAAACAAAAACAAAAACAACTTTATAACCTTTCATGTGAAGGCTTGTTAAAGGCAACTGAAAAAATACCGATCGGGTTACTATTACCACACAGCTACTGTCACCTTTCTACAATTCCAGCAGGTTAATGAAGCAGGATTTACAGGAGTCACATTAATGCTTCCCCAACAAAACTCTGCTGATTTGTGCTTAGTGATATTTCTCTCTACAGTTTTTGTTGATTGTTTGGTTGTTTTCTGGTTGTTTTTTGGGGTTTTTTTTTTCACTTTCTCCCTTTCACCGTCTTTTTCCTAAAGACTGACTGCCATCTTCAAAGTATGGAAGCAGTCAGGCTCACTGGTCTGCAGCTCCCTCTGGAGCCTATTCTGTAGATGGGAGTTATAGTGGCAACCTGCCAGTCCATTGGCACATTGGCTGTTAAAAGTAGGGTTAGAGTAATTTCATACTTCAGTTTCTTCACATCTCTGCGTGTGAAGACTATTAACTTTAATATATTTACAAGTAACTACTCTACTTGACCTCATAATTGCTGTACAGATACTTCAAATAGGTCTTTGATCTATCTGCTGCAAAGCTTACACAAGTTGTTGGCATCTTCTAATCATCATTAGCATGGAAACATACAATCACAGCAAGCTGGGGTTGAAAGACACCTTGACAATCACCTAATACCAGAAACTGACCAAGGAAAAAGACTGTTACATTGTAATCATTAAGCAAATCTATGAATTTCCTTATTGTCTTCTTTTTCACTCTATTTAAGTAAAACTTTACTACAATAGCTTAAGCACCTTTGAAAACCACTCTTCAGAAGCCTTTTTAAGGTTCTCAACTTCCCACTTGCATTTGTCCTTTCTCTATTTATTGGTCCTACCTGTTTCTCAGCAATGCAAGCTTAAATTTCAAATGCTGACCTTTTCCGTATAAGGGGCATAAAAGCTTCTGCAGTCTCTAGAGAGCTCCTTAAGATTCTTTGGGGGCAGGGGATGGTTTGCAACTATTTTATTTTAATTTTTTTTTAAACTGTAGCACATGTTTCAGATGGGTTTCAGCTACAGTATATTTCTTAACAGTCTCCAACCAATGTTTCTGTACTGCTTGCTCCAGTCTTCAAGGGTTGATGAATTTTTGACTAGTTGCTCCATTTTTATGTTTCCTTTCTGGAAAGGGACTACCCCTAGGCCAATTGATTTGGTCCACTCTTTTCTGATATTATTTAAATTAAATAAACAAACAATACATAAACCAATATAGGCCTTCCTTCTTTCCCTGGAAAAGTCACAGAGCAAATCATCCTGGAAATAATGTCCACTCACCTAATAGACAAAGTGATTGAAAACAACTAGCACACATTTACCATGAAAAAATCTTGCTTTACCAACCTTACTGGAACTGTAAAAAATGACTGACTGTAAGAAAAAAGGGAGAGCAGGCAAGAGTGCATAGCTTGAATTTGGCAAGGTATTTGAGACAGTGTCTCATCTTAATGCCAAAGATTTGAGATCTGAATTGAAAATTAGATAAGGTGTCTGTAAAACTGGCTGAAATATTAGGTTGAAGGAGTGATGATATGTCATATGGAGTACAACTGGCAGCTAGCAATTTTAAGTTCCTCAGGGATCCATTATAGAGCCAGTACTGTTTACTGTCTTTATTAACAACCTCAAAGATGTGTTAGGTGCCTCGCATCAAGTCCACAAAAGATATAACACTGAGGGAAGCAACTGAGGGCTAAGTAGAGGACTGGACCACTGCTAATTGAGACTTCATAGGAAGAAAAAAACTGGCTGGTGGGAACTTCATGAAGTTCACTTAAGGCAAAGTCCTGTTACAAAACCTGTTTGAAAGAGGACATGCTAAAAGACCAGTTGGCTCAAGAGCAGCTTTGCAGAAAAAAAATTATGTCCTTTGAACCAATATGATGAACATTAGCAGTGACATGCCTTTGAGACGAAGGCTAACAACATGCTAGCTGCACAGGCAGCAGTCAGTCAATTTACAGAATTGATTCTACTGAGCACTTCTGAGATGGCACATGTGGCTGTGCCTTGTTTCAGGCTTGTCCAAGAAAGACACTTACCTAAATAGATTAAGTATAGCAAAGGGGCATCAGAATGGCCAGAGGTTATGCATATGTTTTATGACGACAGGATGGAAGAAGACTTCTGACTACCAATTCCCACTTCATTCTATCCTTTAAAGGATTGCAGGACCATTCTTGGTGCAAGAGGCTATTATCACATCAGTTAGAAAGCAGGTCTCATATTTCACTCATGGTCTCATTTAAGACACTCAATTCCTTCTGGTGATTTCTTCTTTCTCTAGAATAGTACTCTTTGTGGCTGACCAAATAAAATGTCTTATATGTAGAAAATCATACATATCACACTACACCAAACTGAATAAGCTGCATGCCACTGGGGGAACTGCTACCCGCATCCCGAGTTTAATTTTCTTGATCTTGGGAAGGTAAAACAGATACAGCCTCCCTTTATGAACCAGTTACTGTCATCCTATCCTATCCTATCTGTGGAGGCTATGGAGCCTGTCAGGCAGATACCAAAAGAGTTACCTGGAAATCAGCACCTCAGACTCCTGGGTTACCTTGCCACTTGGTGAGGTGAAGGACTCAGAAGGCTTCTCCCCCAAAGTTTCTTGTTTGTTATGTAAGCCATCCAAGTTATGTCACCCTTTAGCTCCTTTCCCAGTTCCAGAATGTTCTCAGTTCTCAGTTCCCCATTGACTTCCCATTCCCACTTCTCCATTCCACATCCCTGTCTCTCCGCCCTCACATCCCTGTTGGCTGTTGCTGCTTTCCCCACCCTGATACCACCCCCTAAGCCCTTACACACACATTGGCTCTCCATCTCATGCTCCACCCCCTTGCACACCATATTTAAACCAGCTCCCCCCATTATCCAGGGTCTTCGTCCCTGGACCATCCCGCAATAAAACCTTTGCTAGAACACTACACAG